ATCCCCACCTTCACAGGGAGGAATTTTTTCCCAATATCCCATCTAACCCTGCCCTCTCTCTGTTTGACTCTCCCACCCCTTCCCTGCCACCTTGGAAATCTCTGGAAACCTCTGTACCTCTTTTTAGAGATTCCTTTAAGGGATTCCTTCAAGGGATTCCTTTAGGGGATTCCTTTAGGGGATTCCTTCAAGGGATTCCTTTAAGTACTCTGGTGCCACAAAAGGGTCCCACAAACCCTCCCAGATCTTAAACCACCACTCTGGAAGCCCGTCAGGAGCCTCCAGGCCCCGTTTCCTGGGAACCACTCACCGAAGTTGGAATCCTCTCCCAGCTCCTTCCCGTAGCGGATCATGCTCTCCCCCAGCAGCCCCTCGGACTGGGGGTATCCCGGATTCTTCACCTGCCCACGGATCTTGGACATCGTGTTGAGCATGGTTAGCTTGGCTCTGGAAGCTGGCACAGAAACAGCCACAAGTTTGCAGCTCCTGGGACCTGCCAGGAGCTGCTGCCAAGTGGGAAGGAGGATTGGGGAAGGGGAGGGGGTGGAGGGAGGGTTGTGATGTGGGTTTTTTTTTTATTTTTTCCCTGCTACACCCAAAGCCAAGAAGCTCCACTGGCTCCACCTCCCAGAAATATCCCTGGCTAGGAAAAGCAAAGCTCCTTTTCCAAGACACCAGGCAAAAAATAGTTCCCCTGCAGGAGGCCAGAGGAGTTTCCCTGGAGCAGCTGGCTGGCAGGAGGCAGCCCTGCAGGCTCCAGCATCCCCCTTTCCCGGCCCAGAAACTCCAGCTTTTCGCTGCACATTCCAAGAAAAACGGGTGTGTGTGTCCCCCACCACCACCACCACCTCGGGCCTCTCCGGGTCTGATGTGTCTGTTCTGGACCTGCCCTGATCCAAGTGTGGGCTTGGGGATAAGGAAAGGATGTCCCTGAGGTATCCCTGCCCTGTCTCCATGATTCCCTGGGAAGTTGGGAGCAGAGGGAAGGGGCCCAGGAGAAGCCCAAGGCCCTCACCTGGGTTGGGCTGGAGGTACTCGATTGTTCTGGTCAGCACTTCTGTGACGGCTTTGCTGGTCAGGTCCACCTTCTGTGGGAGAGAAAGACAACCCAGCATGAAAAAAGGGGGGTGGGGGAGTCAGCTCAGGGCTCCAGGGAGATCCCAGAGGGTTTATCCCGGGATTTTAAAAGGTTCCCAACTCGCCTTTTCCATCTCCTTGAAGTCATCGTCGAGTTTGGTCCCTTCGGCCCCTCCGACCTTCTCGCTGACCAGCTGTGGGGGGAGAGCAAGGCAGGGGGGGTCAGATCCTGCTGGATTCCTCATTTCCCATGGAATAACCCCCTGGGACACACAGGGAAGAGGGATGGTCCCGGGAGAGGAAGGAGGAGGCAGGAACAGCCCCCCACAAAAACACCCCAAACATCTCCTGCCTGCCCAAATATCCAATCCAGGACACTCCTCAACCCCAGCAGGAGCCACAAGAGCTCCTTAAATCCAAGCACAATCCAAGCTTTGACTCCCAAATCCTGCTGGGAAAAACCAACAGGCAGCCAAGCGTCTCTCAGCTCCCTTTCCAGCCGAGAACTGGGTTTCCCACACGGCAAAATCCTGGGAAATGGGGAAGGAACACGAAGGAACAGACTCTGCTTCAGCAGCCAGGGGACAACAGGGCCACCATTCCCAGGGGAATCCCTGTAGGAGCTCAGGCTCTGGGGCTGGAATTCTTTGTCAAGTGACAGAAAATCCCAAAGTGTCCCCTGTTCTAAGAGCCGGTGGAAGGAGAGGTGTTGGACGATGATTTTGGACTATTTTTGGGAAGGCCCCATCAGTTCCTCCTGTAAAGTTGTAAAGGAGCAATTAAAGGGATTATTTGGCCCCAAATGGCAGCAGAATTCCCCACCCAGAAACCCAGAGTGGTGTGGGAAAGGCTCTGGATCCCAAAACAGCCCCGAGGCGTTGCCAGGATTCCTCCTGTTTGTCCCCAAAGCCCAAGGAACAATCGAGGTTTGTTTACTTGAACATCAAATATTTGATTGTATCGAGGTTTTTTCCTCCTCTGGAACTGCTCCTGCTCCCCAGGGGATTCCCTGTGGGAACTGTGGGGGTTTGGGAAGGAAGAGGGGGAGGGATCCTTCAGCCAGGAGAGAACAGGCACAATTCCAAGGGGAAGGGAGGGAAAGGGGAAATTGGGATCTGGAATTGGGATCTGGAGACCAATTATCCCAAGCAATTCCATCCCCACTTTCCCCCACACACTCCCCCAGCCCTGGCTTTGTGGGCTGGAAGGCTGGAAAATAAAGGGAAAAAAGGGAAAAAAGGGGAAAAAAGGGAAAGGAAAGGGAAAGGGAAAGGGAAAGGGAAAGGGAAAGGGAA